TATATGTATATATGTATATATGTATATATATAAACAATGGGAAATGGGAAATTTATATAATGCTAATACATTAGCCTTATATAAATCATTATCTGTGCAGAGAAAAAATTGTTTCAGGCAGCCCATATACTGAGATATACAACCAAGAAATTTACATGTGCTAATGGTTAAATTAAATCAAAGATGCTATCATGTTAGTTGGTTTCAGCATGTGTAAAAACAAAAAACAAAACGAAAATTATTGTATTGTGGCATCTCAGGATTGTAACTCACAAAACTTCATGATGATTCAAGTCTGATAGTCTTTAAGATGCCACAATATTTATGTTTTGTTTTGTTTTTGCTACACAAAATGAAATCAAATCCTATTTATCTTTACAGGCAACGTGCCTGACTGTGTTTATGAGAAAGGAATAAATAGGGATATGGAACCTATGACACTTCAGATTTGAACTAAAGCTCCCATTATCCTCTACCAGTGCCCATGCTACATAGAGCTGATGGGAGCTGGCGTCCAGCAAGAATAGGTTCAGCATTACTTAGACCAAAGATAGTAACAAGGAGGAGCAGGTTCAGTCTGAAAGGTGATATGGCACTAGTTGTCAGTCAAGCAGATATCTATGGTAATTCAGTTGTTTCTGCATGGCTGAAAGAGACAGTTTTAGCCATTTTGCACAACTAGTAAAGTAATCTAGTCTACACTTTACCTCTAATACTTTTGTAAATATTTCCCCTCCAAAATTAACTTTATAATTTATTCAATATTAAAATGTTTGGATCATTTCATATACTTTATTCCAGTAATCCTTACAATAGCCTCTAATTATCAGCATCATTATTAGTCCCATATGATGAGTGAAGCTTAGCTGAAGACTACCTAGTGAACAGAAATCAGGGCTGAACTGACTTTTAAATCAATGACTTCCAGCTCACAGCTGATGCTCTTAACCGTTAAACTATAAAGGCTCTCTGCTTACATATTGATTGCATTCTTATTCAGCTATGAAATTAACACAGAAGGAAAATATGAAAATGTACAAGAGAAACATCTTCAAATGTTGTTAATATTAGAACATCCAGAAGTCCTCTACAGAAAACAAAAACTGAATCGTTCACTTTGATATGCTTTCAGAAATAACCATTTAAGACAGAATTAATCATTAGTAATGTAAAACAGATCACATATGGAGAAAAGATGATACACTCCAGTGGGTTCTATTAATTGCAAATGATATGTGGGCCACCAAGTTGTACACATGTGAAAGATTCAGCTGGATGCCAGATATATATGCTCCCTCTCCCAGAAGAGTGTGATAGAACAGGGTGGGAGGCCATCAAAATCACTGAATGTATAAGCACTTCTCTGGGGTTCTTTCTACTTTCCTTTCCTTTCTCACATGGACAAGGTTTCACGTCAAGCTTCTAAAAGACACACATTATTTGGCCATATGAAATTCAGCACTACTGATAAAATTCAAATCTCATGTCAACCATTTCCATAAAACTTTCCACAATTAATCCCTAGCTCTTCAATGATTTACTACTGTATATACTGCAAATATAATATATTAATATTAAATACAAATAGGGTCAAGATGTTGTCATCTTCTCACAAGTTTTGAATATTGTATAGTTGTATTGGGCTCAATCCACAATTAATGCTTGGAGCAGGCTTATTGAAACCAAGGCATTCAGTGGAGCTATCCTAAACATGACTACGTCTAGACCTAGTTCACTGATACATGAAATCAGAAGTCAATGTCAATATTTTTTGTTCAAAAAAAAATCACAACACATGTTGTTTAGTCGTTAAGTCGTGTCCAACTCTTCATGACACAACACATAAATTATTATAAATGATCTTTTTTCACATAGAATCTATTTCTAGAGCACATATTAGAGTCAATATACACCTCCAGATATTTTAATGTAAATCAAGTAACTGTTATTAGAAAGACACTCATACCCAAACCTATAGAAAAAATTATTAATAAATATGAAATCTCTGAGCATCTTTTCTGAATGAAAAATATGGAAGAAATATGATTCCCTGACACAAAGGTAGTCATCCCTTCTAGAAATATCGGTCTGCCATTGGCAATAAATATTTTGTGTGTGTGTGTTCTAAATAATTAAGCAAAGTAGCCCTTGGTAGCAATAATCAACGTCTGTCACAAAAGTCATGTGGCATTATTGGAATAAGAAAAATGTGTATATTAAGCAAGCCATTGTTCAAATGAAAAAGAAATATTCTGAGAGCAGTATTTCCCCTAGCAAGCAACTTCACTTAGCTAACAAAAGAATTACACAGTTCCTACAATGTATCTTTCTGACAAGAAAAGAAATTCCCAAGTAGATTAATAAGATATTATATTTACACCACCAATGCTTTTAAAAGTTATCATTTTTAAAATAAAAATTTAGTTATGTCTACAACTGTTTGAAATAAATGTATTGAAAAATGCCATTAACATCTACAAAATAATATATAAATTGGGCACCGTGCTTTCAAAGAAGAGAAAGCCTAATGTGCTAATACACTGTTACCTATTTTGAGAGGCAATTTGTATCATACACTTTAACGGGAATAGTTGCTCACCAAGATTTCTACAGCTAGATTTCTTTGCTTTCATTTTATGTGCTCTCCTTAGCATCAGCTGAGCTGTGGATATGTCTTTAAAACCCCTAAAAGAGAGGTGAAAATTATTGAGCAAACAGAAATTTCCATGTACTAAAAATATAGGCTGATATCCATAAAACCTCTAGCCAGGCTACTTAAAGAGCTTCATGTACACATATAAGAGCTACCTCCCCCCCCTCTTTTGATTATAATCCTTATGCTCCAATAAATAACACTCTAAAGGATATTAGTTTTTCAGAGGTTGCTTTTCAGAAAGAGTAAATGACAAGTAAAAAGAAGAGGATCTAGATAGCTTGGACGCATATAAGAACATGTGTAACTTTTTGGAACCCATATACAGTATTCCTCCGCCCCCCCCCCCAATAGTACAAGACAATAGTTTATATTTCAGAGGCTATGCCTGGCATAAGCTCTAATCCTCCATAAAGCTCCATTAGTGTTTGCTGTTGAAGTTAAAAAAAATAATAATGTATGCTCATTTATACAAAATTACATCAATGTTGGTCACACACAGGGTAAGCAATGTTATGGGTTTATTTCACAACTGTGTGTGACGAAATGACTAAAGTCCTCTTGCATAAATTAACCTATGTAAACTGAATGAAGTCAGAAACAGGCATGTTTAATTTAGATTGGTTGTTGTGGGTTTTTCGGGCTCTTCGGCTGTGTTTTGAAAGTTGTTCTTTCTGACGTTTCGCCAGTCCCCTTCCCTCCAATCAATTCCATCTCTCAATTAATTTAGATTAATTGAAAGCTTCCTTTCTCTTCTCTTTCAGATTATGAGACGCTCTAGGGCTCCCTTTCATCCTGGAGAAGCCTTAGTGTTTCTCAGGTTTGGGGAAGCCTTTAATAGTTAAAAAAAAAAACCACTGGATCATCAGCCCATCAGCAGTTGTACTACATCCTCGGTAGAAGGTAACTAATGGTTATGCCAATGCAGCATTATATGACACTGCAGCAGAAATATTTCTGATTAGGATGTCAAGAACTAATATAGCTTTTACTAAAACTTGAACTCAAGCCTAGGTACTGCTACCAATTTTTTTAAGGTGTTAGAATGCTAAATCAAACATACCATTCTTCTGAAATTTCTTCTTCTTTTTCCATTCTTGACACTGACTTTTTGAGGGGTCTCAAAGTGGAGAACTGTGAAGGAGCATTCTTCTCTGACCTCAGAAGAGGAAGCAAAAACCATTGAAATCTAGCCCAGTACCATAAATTTCTGCTGTATTTGCTGAGCTCTAAAGTGCCTATGCTTTCTGGATCTCAGAAATAAAATCTATTTTAATTCTCCAGGAAGACTTTATCTTGGAGAGCAATAAAAGTCAGACAACTGCATGAAATGTTTACACTTCAGTTATGTGAAACATATTTAAAGTTTTTTTTCTACAAAGGAATGCAGAGCTGTAAGAAATCCTTCTACCTTTATCTGTCTTTGATATCTGCATTTTAGGGCCTATTTAATTTTTTTAAAATTAAGATTTGAGTTTCTAGTTATTTTATGCTGCTAAAAAAGATTAATGAATAAACATCAGCTTATTGAAGAGCTACTATTCTACAAATCATTTGTGTCATATTAGATATTTGTTAAGCTCCTTTGTTAAGCTTACAACCTAATTAATCACATGATTTAAAATGGCAAGGCAGCAACAAGAAATTCTAATTACTTTTCCAGTTCATTTTCTGGTTCTTGTTAGTGTGCAGTTAAATAAAAGACAGAAACATTTAAAGTAATTCATTTTACTTACCTCTTACTAATCTGACTGTTTTCCAGCAAGAAGGATTTTGTTTTTTCCCCAACCTGCCAGGTATTATGAGGAAAGTGTGTTAAGTGATGTGGCTTGTTTTCACATCTTGCAGTTTCATTATGCTTGAAAACAAGGAAAGAAAAATATTGAAATAAATAGCTCTTTTCAGACTGAACTTGAAGAAGACATGGCTCACACATCATGTTTATTTATATAACACATACATAGGATATTTACACTTAGGTTCAAGACAATGTACAGGTGAATTTTGAACTGAACAAAATTCTAAAACTGAAAAAAAAACACAAAACACCAACCCAATCCCACAACATAAATGACTTTCCAGGAAACTGGAAAACTGGAAAATGGTTCCACAGCTGTTGGATAAACCCTGTAATGGCAGCATTTCTGGCAAGTGAGGCTCTCAGTTCTTGCAGTACCTCTTCTTCAGATATAAAACAAGAGCTGACTTGAGAAATATAATTGGTAAAGCAACTGATAACAGGAAAGGGTGGTTTTTTAAGACAGGTGGGCCTCTGGTTACAAGGAGCTTGAAGAATTAAGACTTGAACCATTCACTGGAACAAGAAGCATGTTAAGTGCCCGCACAGGTGATGTGACACAGGGTGGACATGCTCACATGTCTCAAGATTTAGTTTCATCTTTAAGTCAGTCCTTCATTGCAAATCATTTCAATGGTAGGTTGCTTTCTGATTGTGTGGACCTTTCTCATGTGCTGTCAGAATTAAAGGGGGGAAAAGGAGGAAAACAAAGGACAAAATGTCATGATGCCTTAAAGATTGATGCATTTGCTTCAGTATGAGCGTTCCTGGATCATATCCACTTCCTCAGACAAATTCACAAGTGGATTGTGATCCGTAACTGGTTAGTCTTTAAAGTGTCTCCTCCTCCTCCTCTTCTCCTCTTTGTCCCCCAACGTGTTAAATTTTGTTAACATGTTCAAAGAGTAACACAGCTGCTTCTTAGAAAATTTCATCACCCTTGCACAACAGTTAGCATAACCTGATACATAGGCATTCAGGATTTCATGGAAGGTTTCTTATTCAAGCAGTTATGTTTTCAGGAATATATAGGGTTAGTTAAGAAAATACAAACGATAAGACAGACCTATATGAAAAACTATGCTAGAAATCATGCTGGGTACAAGGACATTCAACAAACAAAGCAACATACCATGAGAGTAAATCAATGAGTAAACCAGCCTTCTTCTACTTTGCAAAGTCTAAATTTACCAGTCATGATGAAATATGAGAGCTACATGTATACATAGGAGTGGACCTTATAAAATTGGGAGCTTGTTTGAGGTTTTCATCACAGCTGCATGTTGCAGAAACAAGATGCATTTTAAACTGTGAAGCTGGCCTTTGTTGCAGTATAAGCAGTCTTGGTGGAAACTTCAAAGAAACATCCGGCTGTGTGCACAATTCTCCCCCGTGCACACATTCCATTTTATTGGATCACAGCCACAGACTTTAACAGGATCCAGTCATTTTGCAATAATCTGGAATACACTTAACCATCCCAGTGTTCCGAAGATATGAGCAGGTTATGCTCTGGAAGCAGTTTGAAATTCAAATTAAAGCTACAGTAAATGGCTGTTGGCACCCTGAACTTAAACACGTTTACTTGAAATTGGGCCATTCTAAGGAAATGTGTTTAAAACAAGAGTGCCAGGCTTGCATTTAATTACTCCTATGGAAGAAAAATTAACATACATTAGGCATATATTGCCTACAGTTTATGACTATTCTGTTTTACAGCGAGAGCAAATATTGTTGGGAACATATAGCATAACATAAAGAAAGCGGAAACTTCTGAATTTATGGAATAGCTAACAGACTTTATAGTTCAGTAGTTTTGTGCTGTTCTGAAAATCCACAGCTGTTGCCATACAACATAGACCAGTATTTTTAAAACACTAGCCATTTTTAATTCACTGCCAAAAGTGCAGCTGAGGCACATCATCTTTCTTTTTCTTTTTGCTACCGTGAAGTACAGTGTTGAAAGAAATCCAAAATAAAGGTGTGTGTAGGGGTGAATTAAGCAAATGAAAGAAAAGCTACATGACAAATTACATCTGGAGATGAAGAGGAAGTCAGAGACTTCTAAAAGTAATTATGTTTTTTTAGTCAATAAATTGCAATATTAATCACACCAAGTGAAGCAAGATCCCCACAGTAAGGACAAAGGCCAAAGAAGAAAAAAGTTTCAGTGACATGTTACCTTTTGGTCTGAGGATAGTGGTGTTTGTGAAAGGAAGTGGGTAGACTCCAAAGCTGGCCATTCTTCCTCTATGACAGTCTGGATTTAAGAAAAGGCAGTGAAATCAGTAGTGCAGAAATAATACCCATTTCATTTTGATAACTTTTAGAAAATACACCGTTGACTATGTTGCATGCTGCTTGTGATGTTTCCGAGGCTGCTGGTTGGAACTGCTACCAGCAGTATTGCCACACTCATTGAACATGGGGAGAGAAGTTTTGAGAACATATATATATTCAAATCTCCCTTAATTTATGATAGTTCCAATAGGAGGATTCTAGATTCTAAAAGGTTTTTAACTGCTCTTTAGTCTACTTTCACTGAAAAGCCCAGAGCTCACAAAAATTCTGTTACGTCCATGTATATAATCCCATTTAGAATTACAAAATTTTCCAACCATCAGACATTCTAGACATGGTTGTAAAGGCCTGAAGATATCTGCATTATTAAAAGATTCTGGAGGATCCTCTTGTTATCATGACAGCAAAAGAAAAATGATCACTACATGGTGTAACTATGTATAGAAATACTGCCACAAAGAGGAACTCTAGTTGAATGAACAGAAGACTGTCTATATTAATTCTGTGTTCTTAGGTGCCTTTGCCACACCCTTCTTCCTCTTGACTTTTGCTTCCTTCATGCCTCTTTATTCATTCTGTTGCCTTTATTCATTCTGTTACCTGTTCTATTTCTTAAGGCACTGCAGTTTTCATATTATTTTCTTTTTTCAGACCCCAAATGGAGGCATTTGATTTGTCTTATTTGCCCATCTCTCCTTCCTCCTTCATAATTTGCTTTCCCTCTGACCTTGGCTTCCTTGGCGCACTTATCTCACAGTATATGTATCCCAACTTTCTCTCTCCTTCCATTATAATCTATTCTTTTAACCACCAAGAATATCAACTATCAAACTAGGAAGGTGACTGTCAATCTCAACTTTTCATTGTCTCCTGACCTATTCTATTCATGCATCGGATTTTGTTCAAGGCCATGACAGGAGATCTGCTGAAGCAATGGGGCTTCTCCTTCTTATATGCTATATCCACTGTCATCTGCTCTAAAATATCTTCAAACATCAATGCACATTTCGAAGTGAGGTGGGACTTTGTTTGGAGGCACCTAAATCACTTTCCACAGAGGAGCCACAGTAGAAACACAAAAAGGGGGAAATGGCTTTCTCTTTTATGTAAGCGACACATCCTCTGCCAGCGTTACTATGTTTTTACTATATCATAATGTATGCTAGGTTTAATCTAGATCTAGAATCTACAGTCAAGCAGCACTTAAAAGACTAACATTTGAACTGGCATACACTTCAGTAGAATGCAGCCCATTTAATCAGATCTATAGAAAACTGCCCCAGTTAACAGACATTTCTACACATTCTTGAGCTAGAGATGTTGACTGTTATCTTGGCAGTGATCATCAACAATAGTAGCTGGGTGATAATATAGCCATCATAGCATAATGAAGCAGACTGTGATGAAAGCCTTTGTCTTACCCATGTTACAAGAAGTAGGGCTTGTATCTGATGAAGAGGACACGAATCAAGAAACTGTACAGTAAATAAAATGTGGTAGTCTTTAAGGCACCACTAGGCACATTGTTTTTGCTGTGACAGACTAACCTGATTTCTCACTGCATATAAAAAACCAGATACATGGGAAAGGAGTACAATAAATCTAGGATGGTGTGGCATTCATTATGCTTGCACTGCTCTTCAGCTATTTCAGAGAAAACCTATCACTTTCTCATGTTTCTTTTACTGGGGATTTTATCTTTTATTCTCTTGCATTTTCTTCCCCAAAATATGGCACTGAAATATCATGTTACAGACCCATTTTCCAGTTTCTGTACCCGGGCATGTGAGGTGGGTGGGTGAGTGTGTAGCCAAAATACCATGGCAATAAGTGGTGTGACTTTCTTCATTAAACTTAGTGCATGTTTAAATGTATAAAGTTATAAATTAAAAACATGGTTATACATCCAGCCCTTCCCTCCAATCAATTCCTGATTCCTTTTCTAATTTCCCTTATATTCCTTTTTATCTGCTCTGATTGTAATTATTATATATGTTTATGCACATTTTGTTTTTTAATTGTATTTTATTCTTATTATATGCTGGAAGCCGCCTAGAGTGGACTTATAGTCCAGATAGGCGGGATATAATATATGCTTCCTGTAGAAACATCAGTGTATGCCTATGTATGCCTGATAAAGCATGGAGCTCCCTTGCACTGTTCCGACTGCTAGGTAATGGTAAAGGTTCCCCTTGACATTTAGTCTAGTTGTGTCTAACTCTAGGGGGCGGTTCCCCTTGACATTTAGTCTAGTTGTGTCTGACTCTAGGGGGCGGGGCTCATCCCCGTTTCCAAGCCATAGAGCCAGCGTTTGTCCGAAGACAGTTTCCGTGGTCACGGGGCCGTTGTGACTAGATATGGAACGCCATTACCTTCCCGCCGAGGTGGTACCTATTTATCTACTTGCATTTTTACATGCTTTCGAACTGCTAGGTTGGCAGGAGCTGGGACAAGCGACAGGAGCTCACTCCATCACGTGGATTCAATCTTACGATTGCTGGTCTTCTGTCCTTGCAGCACAGAGGCGTCTGTGGTTTAGCCTGCAGCGCCATCACATCCAATTGCTAACAAGTTAGCAAAATTTTGATTCTTTATTTGGATCCGGGTCCTTTTCCTTCTACATATGAAGCTTATACATGACTGGCACCTCATTGATCCCTCCATATGCTGGATGCGGCTCGAAAGCTACATTGATTTTTAAAAGAGGTCCTTATTTCAACAAAAGCCCCATAATTTTTAATACCCTCATCTATGCTGTTCCTTGTTATTCTGCCCCTGTTGTCTTTTGAAATGAGAAGTTTTTATAAAACCTTGTTTCCTCAAGTTTGCCATAGTGAAATCTTGTAGGGTTGGTTCTCAACATGAATACAATGGAGTGATTTAAATTAATGTGTTTTTAAAAAACTGGTCAGGATTGCCTGAATTTTATCTAAAATAGTAACTTTTCACAAAGATTCCTAGCTAAACTCCATTAAAAGCAACAACACCAAATATACTGAGACACTAAAGCATATTAGAGTACTTTGTACCTAAAGGAACATCAAGTGACTTTGTCATTACGATTGTTTACAGTATTCAGACTGGAAAACTATTATGAAGACAGAGAAGCAGGCACATCAAACCAGGCAATTCACTACAGTGCCTCCAAATCTTTCATTCTTTCAGATCAGTCTGAAAGTTTACAAAAGTAAAGTACAGGTGTCCAGTTCAGCATTGGGCTTGGCAAGTCAATGTTCAAAGGCCCTTCAGTCTGAAAAACAGTATCGTCCATGGCTACAATATGTTGGCTAAGGATGTGAGAGTTCAACTCCTACTCGGCTATGAAGCTCACTGGGTGGTCTTGGGCAAATCACCCCGTCTAACCAATCTCACCCTGTTTAAAGTAAGGTAACCTCATATAACATATGATCTCATTCAGCAAAACAGAAAACACAATATATGATAAATGCAACACACATACTGGGAAGACATCCATTCAGTCAAGTTGCCCTGCCATTATTGTACTTCTCTCAAATGTGTCTTTGATCTGGGTGAATGCATAAACATGTGTATTGGCCCATGAACAAACCTTTCAAATGAATAGATGCTGAAAAAAACGTAGTGATATTGGACTAGAGCTGGTAGAAAACACTTCTGGGCCTTGCAAGTAAAATAAGAAGAATACGTTTGTAGAGAAGGACATAGTGACAATTAAATTGCACTGACCCATACAGAAAGAACCTGGTGCTCAAATGCATGTAGGTTGCTTCCTTTATTCTTATGGTGTGATAAAGAGGGCTGATAATACCTAAGGAAAAGATAACTATCTGTTTTGCAAAACCATGCTGTAAGGCAACCATTCTCAAGCTTTTTTTTGCCACAGCTATAAACACAATATGAAAGAAATATAGGCTGAATCAGTCCTTCACATATCATCTTATAAGGTTTGTTATGTGCATAAATCACATAACAAACCTTATAAGATGATGTGCGAAGGATTGTTTCCAGTCTGTACTCCCCATCAAATGTGCCAGGAACCCCCAGGGGGTCATATGACCCCCACTGAGAATGGCTGCTCTAAGGAATAGGATATTTTTAAAAAAGTAGGCAGGCAACAACATTCTTTCTCAGAGTACAATTAATACATATTTATATATAACAATTTCCCAGTATTTTAGTTGGAGATGTAGAACACGTGGCCAGGATGCCAAGAATGCCTAATTATATATATATAAAGTTCCCATCTTGATTTTCATGTTTGACAATCTATTTTAGTATTTAATTAGTCTTGGTGACAGACTGGAGAGGTCATATGAATTATCAAGTCACACAATATGAAGTCTATTATTTTTTATATAGTGTTTACTTGGACAGTATTTCAGCTAAAATGTCATTGATTATATATATTTATTATTATAAATTATATAATATATATATTATATTTATATATTAATTAATTAATTAATCTATTTTAGTATTTAATTAGTCTTGGTGACAGACTGGAGAGGTCATATGAATTATCAAGTCACACAATATGAAGTCTATTATTTTTTATATAGTGTTTACTTGGACAGTATTTCAGCTAAAATGTCATTGATTATATATATTTATTATTATAAATTATATAATATATATATTATATTTATATATTAATTAATTAATTAATTTAATAATTATGTTTTCATAAATATTCTATTTCTCTTAAAACCTCTGTTGAAATGAATGTACTAATATCATATTAATAAACAATTTCTTGAACAGTTTTTCCCCCTCTTTTTTTAAAAAAATCCTCAAATTGGCACATTTTTCTGTGTCATCTTAGGCCACTGTATAGGGGAACGGAAAAATCTAAAGGAAATAAATAGAATAGAACAGAACAGAACAGAATATTAGAAATAATTTACAGCAGTCTTAATATGCTAACTTTCCAAGACTGATATTGCTTTGGCAGCTTATTCTAGGATTTTCAGATGTCTATTGGGCAAGGGGGAGGCCTTCCTTAATTATTTATTACGTAAATGTACATGTGCATATTCTCTATGCATGCAAATCATGCTAAAATATCACTGTGCATCTCTCCCTGCCCATTACTGTGGAACCTCTCAGCTGGATTCATCTTTTTGGTCTCATTGTCCTGAATGCAGATATGCTTATTTATCCCAAAATACATCAAAGAAATATAATCCACGCAGTATTCAGATACTTCTTTGCTGCTTAGTAGAATTTATTAATTTTATCACTTTTACCTGTGATGAAAGACCTATTATTCATCACAGGTCTATATATCCTTCACAGAAAACAAACTACTGTATTTTTTGCTCCATAAGACGCACCTCTCCATATGACGCACCAAATTTTTAGGAGAAGAAAACAGGAAAAAATAATATAGATTTCTTCTCCTAAAAATTGGTGAGCCTTATGGAGAGGTCCTTCTTATGGAACACACCCTAGGACATTTTGGAGGCTCACCCTACCCCCCCGGGATCAGAGGGGGCTTCCCAAGCCTTAAAAGAGTCCCAGAAGGTGGCGATTTCGCCCCCTCTG